TTGATCAGCAGGGCGGTGGTGGTTGGTGCATCAGCAGCAGGATGCAGGATGGAGCTCGTGTGGTTGTCGCTGCATTGGTTGAAGGATGGGTTGGAGGCGCCGGGAGCGATGGTGCTGGCGGAGAGAGCGGCAGGGGCTGACGGTGGTGGCAAGTTCGTGGTGGGAGCTGGCAGCGAGCCCGGCTGACTCCCGCCCAGAGCTGCCAAACCTGCGGCTTGTTGAACTGGCGTTTGTGGCGTGTGCGCACGCCATGCGGCGGGCATGTCGGCCGGGACTGCGGGGCCGACGGCAGCGGAGGGAGTCTCTGGGGATGGCTCAGAAGAAGGCTGGGCAGGCCCACTGTCGGCTGGTTGCTCGGGCGAGGTCATCGCGCGCATGCCAGGCCGCGCGCACGCGCAAAGTACGGCCGTCCCATGTTACTGATGACCAGCATTACTTATGACGCGCAAGACAAAGGGTGGCTCAGGGCTCTGCCCGCAAGGCGCCCGCGTCGCCGACGCGGTACCATTGACTAATCCCGGCATTCACACCCACACGACCAAATAAAATCCATTGTCGGGACTGCGAGTCGGCATCACCTGCGTCCACAGACTCGTCGCTGCTATCGAGAGTCGACAGTCCGAGCGGCACACTCCCTGTGGACATGCTTGCGGTCCTCCCGCTGCTCGTCTCGACTTCCATCCGAGGCGGCTGCGTCGTCGTCACTGGAGCGAGCCGCGGTCTCGGCGTCGGCATCGCGAGGGCGTTTGCGACTGAGGGCGCGGCGACGGTGTGCTTGGTGGCGAGGTCCGAGGCGGGGCTGCAGAGCGTGTGCAGGGGGCTCGCTGCAGAGCATCCAAACGTCTGCTTCCATCCGATCGCGGCCGACGTAACCGATCCTGGCGGTCGCGCTCGCATCGTGCGTTCGGTCGAGTCGATAGGCCAGCGGCTGCTGCTGGTGAACAACGCCGGCATCGAGTCGTGGGGACCGTTCGAGCACGCAACCGAGGCGAGCGTCGAAGAGCAGGTCGCCGTCAACCTGCTCGCGCCGATGCTGCTCACGCGCGCCCTCCTCCCGCTCATGCTCTCCGCCGGAGGGGGCTCCGTCATCCACGTAGCGAGCCTGGCGGGCAAGCTGGGCTCGCCAAACTCTGCCGCCTACACTGCGAGCAAGCACGGGCTCGTCGGCTTCTCGCGCGCGCTGCGCAGCGAGTACGCCAGCCGCGGCGTCTCGAGTTGTGTCGTCTGCCCGTCGTTCGTCGACACCGCGCTCCTCGATAGCCTAGTCGCAAAGGCGGGAGGAGAGCGGCCGCCGTGGATCAGCACCACCACATGCGACGCCGTCTCTTCGGCCTGCGTGCGCGCGGCGCTGGGGGACGAGCCCGAGGCCCTCGTGAACCGCGTGCCGATGCGCCCGATACTCGCCCTGTACGAGGCGCTGACGCGGCTGCCGCAGCTGGTCGACCAGGCGCTGCCCGGTGTGCTGGCCTCCCTGCCTGCCCTCGCGGCGGGGCAGGTTGCGTGCGTCGCTCTCGGTATGAAGCACATCCAGGAGGCGAGCGTGGGAGACACCTTCTCCGACCCCGCCGCGCCGCAGCCCGCGCTGCCGGGCTTCCAGAAGCCGCAGCCGATGGTCTTCGCCGGGATGTACCCCCTCGAGGGCGAGGGCTTCGACGCGCTGCAGCACGCCATGTCGCGATTCCTCCTCAAGGACGGCTCTGTCACCGTCGAGCCGGAGAGCTCGCCCACGCTCGGGCAGGGCCTGCGCTGCGGCTTCCTCGGGCTGCTCCACCTCGAGGTCACTTCCTAGACACTTCCTGGTCACACTCCCGCTTCACCTTCTAACTCCTCGCCGGGCTCCCACGTTGTCGACGCCACGCCTATAGCCGTCTTTACGCCTCCCTCCCTCCGCCTCGAGGT